ACAGAATTTGGGTATGTAAATGAAAAAGCAAAACAACGAATACAAAATGTTATAGACATAAGATGGTAATCGTTGTCAAGTGACATGACAAGTGAATAATTCGTCTGTCAATTGATAAAAACACCTACAAGTATCACGAATATCACTCCGCCTTAAATAAATAAAGGCTAAACAAATAATTAAGACTTTTTAACACTCCTAAAGAAATATCGAACGTCATAATCAATTTATTCAAAACATTTTTGAAAAATCTCGACAAACAAGCCAATTCATATTGACTTAATAAATTTAAATTTTTTAGATTTTATTTGACTATAAATATAAGACGACGTAAGACTATAAAAAAATAATGTAATTTATAGCTCATATTTAAACTAACATTGTTTAAACTGTAGTATATTTTTCTTATAAAATAAAGCTTTTCATACGATTCTTTTCCTATTTCCTCAGATATTTATAGAATAAGTGTCATCAGTCTATCAGAGCCCATTGCTGAGCAAAGGCCTCTTTCTCACATGGAGAAGGTTTGAGCATTAATCACCACGCTTGCTCAAGACGGGTTGTTGATTTCAAACTTATAATTGTGAAATTATCAGTCCAGGTCTCCCCACGATGTTTTCCTTCACCGTATGTCAGTGGTGTCTAAATACTCTTAGAAAGTACATATGACTCCGAAAAATCCAAAATAAAAAACCCGCGCAATCGTGCACGAGAGGCAGACCTTTTTAACCACTAGGCCACCGCTGACTTATTTATAGACATTTATAGAATAGAAAAAGTACAAAACATAATTTAAGGGTTTCGATAAATATTGTTTCTGTGTCAATGTTATATGTCTGTTTGTTTACAGTCATCTCATAAACTGTCCTTGATATCTGAAAAAAAAACAGGTGACCACCAAGTTTTAGCATTGAACTCATTTGAACCAGACCTTCGGACATAGATTTGGATCACGATGTGTTTTGGTTATAAATATCAATGAATTAAGTTTCTTTGCTGGCTGTCAATCGCCAGTGGCGCCGCGACGCGGCCAAAAGACGTCGATGACCCTGCACTGCATTAACGACACTCAAGTTTATAACTGCCAGTAGAACGTCTTACTCACGCGTCATTAATATTGAGATCATATGAAGCCCGTACCAGCAGCATCTTAGAATCTTAATATTTATTAGTATTACATTAAATTATGCTTCTTTCATTCTTTTATAGCATTTTTTATATTTATAAGTATCATGATGACGCAATTCGACATTAATGCGTTTGCAAAAAAATTAAATAGAATTTTAAATGATCATCTTATATTATAGAATGTTACAATTAGCATAAAATAAATTTATCTTTAAGTCAGGATAGTCTCTAAAGTAGTTGACGGCAAGTAAATTATATATTATAAACAAACACCATGTTTTGAACTGGTTCTCCAAGTAAAAGGAGCGATATAAAATTACCTGTGGAATCTAACGTTGAGATAGTCAGCTGGTACGTTACAGCTCTATTTATTATGATTATGTAGAGTATTTGTATAAGCAGAAACAATATTATTACGCTGAGATTGTGTTGAGGTGTTTTAAAATAGAATTTGTTGATGAAAAGTACCTTGCTAAACGAAAATGAGCAATGAGCCTTCGAACGTGAATTTCGCACTGATCAGGTGTGTTAAATAAAGTAATAGTTTATAGTTGTGATTTTTTTATATTTCTTTAAAAACATTTTTCTTATATTTGATAACGATGAATATTTTTATCTTTAATATATATATGTACTTTTAAATTAACCCGTTAAACTGACAATATTGTGTGAGACATTAATTGACACATAAAAATCTTGGGTATATGCTTTACTTCTAGGGAGACATCTTAATTCTTAAGAATATAAAAAGCGGATGGTCTTAAAAATATCAATACAGAATAAATAGTAATAATATTAGGTACCTGTCCAGAGGAAAGGTTCAGAAATACATAATTTATCATGACATTCGTATTTCTTGATGACGACATTACTGTGTCGACGAGATCGACTCACCTAGGTCATGAAACTCAACTCTTTACAGATAGTATGCTTAACAAATTTAGGATGGATTGTCATAGGATAAGTGTGTGGCCTAGTAGTTGAAGGTCCGCCTCTCGTGCAGTAGAGTAAATGTGATTTGTCCGAGACAAAGTGATTTTCCGAGTCATACGTACTTTCTAATAATATTTAAGACACTACTGACAGGCGGTAAAAGAAAACATAGTGAGGAAGTCTGGACTTATAATTTCACAATTGTAAGTTTAAAATCACCAACCCATCTTGAGCAAGCGTGGTGATTAATGCTCAAACCTTCTCGATGTGAGAAGAGGCTTTTGCTCAGCAGTGGGCTTTAATAGGTTGATGACAAAGTAGACCAACTATCTAGCCGTTGGTTAAGAATAAACTTTCACTCTATTTCATTAATTACCGACCTTAGTTAACAAAAAATTCAACTTAATAATACCTATTATTACTACTCATCAGATCAAAATTCTAAGTTTTTTTCCGATATTGTTATTAATATCGAAAATACTATATTCATATGTAAAAGAAATCTAGCACATGCAATAATAGTTTGTATGCACAGTATAGCTTGGGATGTATGTACATTATATATTATCTCTGGATGAACAAAATAATTGATGATAGGGAAAATTTGACGTCATAGACGTAAGCCATAATTTCCTCATTTTATTGTAAAGTTTGTGATATGTTCGACAAGAAATTCTTTTTGTTCTTCATGTTTTCCTTGACAAAATTAATAATATTTTTTTTAATCGACTGGATAGTGCATGTCTATCATCTTACCGGTTTCAAGGTGGAAATGAAGTAGAAGGTGGTAAACCCACTATCTCAGTATCAGTCTATTTACCCTTTTTTAAATACACTCAAATAAAAACTCGAAGGAAACACAGACGCAGGCAAACTGTACCATTATATCTTGCCGTGCACATAATGAAAGAGGAAGCGTATCGCATCGTATTGTAATTAATAATCTCAATATTTATCCATAGCTTCTTACGTCCTTCAAAATTATTTTAGAGTTTCAACGCCACATTTTTATCAACATTTATTATGTTTACGATCGAACACCATTGTATTTTTTTGTTAAAAGTAAAGAACGGAACGAGGTGAATTATTAAGCTTGGGAAAACATATAATTATCCGGGATATTCACGTCATTTAAATTATTTAAGTTTTTCAATAAATAAGAAAATCGTTTCATATTGGAAGTAGCTGAGAAGAAAAGTATTTAATGAGAGCGGTATTTGAAGCAGAAAAGCAATAAGAAGTTGCGAGTTTTTTATGAAATAAGATTTAATATCGGAGGCGGATGAATAGATACATATAAAAATTAGTTTCTGTCAAACATGCTGGTATTGTTTAGAAAGTGGTGACCTATCTCGTGGTGAAAGCACCAGGCACGTCGCTACCATGATGATCGAACACATACTTAATAGTACATTATGAAGCTAGAATGGAACCTTCTGACACGGTTATTGCACTTAGTTGAAGCATAATATTTTTGTATATGATGTAACAATAGTTAATGATTCATTATTAGTACGTAATTTATTAAATATATTTATATGTTATTTTATTATTGAATTGATTGTTTTTAATTCTTTAGTTTGTACATTTAATACTAACAAATATTTTTAACTTTTTGACTGGTTAAGGTTTAGTTTTATACATATTTATTTTATTATCAAATTATATTTTTATTTTTTTCATAAAAGGCAATAAATAAATTAGATATTTAAGTGTTTACATATCAATTTAGAATACTTTTTATAGGTTTTGAAATGGGAATAGGTATAAAAGAAATATGACATGAAGTAAGTACATCCACCATACCCATTTTTGTTCGAATGAGGTCGTCATTTGGGTGCAAATTTTAAGGTCACAGTGACTTGAAATGTAGTCTAGATTTTGTGTAAATGGCTTAATTGTCGTCTGGCGACGGGTTACTACAGGTGCTTAGGTTGACAGTTGCGGTCACCGTGTCAAGGCTGAAATGCTCACGCTCTATTAGGCGAATGGCTATTTTATAGAGAGATGACATAACGTACCCTCGATATACCCAAAAAACTGTGACAAAACGGTCTGTCATTTATATCAACATAATAATCATTATCTATTAATGTAACATGTATGTGTATATGCTTAATGATAATAAAATGTTGCTATGAATCTATTGTTTCTGTTACCCTACGATTCGACTAATTAGTGGTTCACAGATTTTACTCTCACTCATACAGCCAATTATTATTTAACTTTTAATGACATAACGTAGACAATATACTTTCACTTGTTTTACTTTTTTTATGTAAGAATGCATAAAATCGAACGTATAAAAATTAATTTATTAATAATATTAGTACCTAGTATTACAATGGTATTTATATTTTTAAACGTTGTTAACTTGTTATTTGAATAACAGATACTTATTGTTTGGAGGTGTAAAATATTTTATTTATTTCATAAGGTTTTTAAAATTCCTCAGGTTTTTATATCTAAGTCTCAACGCGCCAAAAGTAAAGGAGGTAGGTCCCTTATATACTTATTAAGGATATTGCGATTAAATAAATATTTTTACCTTTTATGAGCGAGTGATTTAGTAAATATTTATACCTAAACTGTTTCAGTCAAAATATTTTTACCTATAAAAAAAAGTTTTTAGTTAAGTTTTTAAATTAAAACATCAGGAATGAAAAAGTTGTTTTGAAATGCCGTCAAAGTTTTTTTAGTCTCGTAGCTTGTGTTTCAAATTGAAGAAAAAAGAAAATACACAATAGAACATAATTAAGAAAACGTTATAAATCTGTACAATATTAACAGTGATGTATAGAAATTAATTAAATATTTAACCACCTTATTAACAAGATCATACATTGTGTAATAAAGATCATAAATTGTGCATTCACGCTGTAGACTCATTCAATGAGATAAGTATACAAAACAAATAATACAATGACCGACCTTTTCCATTAAGCTGCGTGCGCAATCTTCCCAGTTCCCTGGACCTGCTCGTGCTTCGGCCCGCGGCGATCCTGCGGGGAGAGCGCGCCATATCTCGAATCACTGGACCGTTGCCATGACAACGGCTTACATCCAAATCCACAATCACTAACACAAGCAACAACAAACAGCACAAACACTGTACTGTTGTTACGATTTCGAAAAGCGCGGTAAATCGTTAGAGACACCGAGAGCGAGGCGCGTGTCGATTGGAAGGCACTACGTTGTACTGTGCCGGTGAGCAAGCGGACGAGGCGCACCGCGAAGGCTGGCGCTCCTCAGTTACCTGCCTACTTGATAATGTGATAACAGATGAAACCGAAACATATTTATCTATCATAGATTCGTATCTTACGATCATAATTATTAACTAATCAGACGTGTTTACTGTCTTTATTTATTGATAGTATTTTTTTTTTGTGTACGTGTACATTTAAGTTCAAGCACTTATATATCTTCATTTAATTCGTGACTTATAATATACATATACAAATACATAAATCTATAGTTTTTTGTTTGAAAATAACTTGCTTGCCACTGCTTTTTCCCATTTCCTGGTAACAGTCGAATACCCAATCTATGAAACTCATCGTCCTTGGAGCAATCTATAAATCGCTCAAATTTTCTCAATCCTCATAAGATTTAAATTTTTTCCTTGAGAACCATGAGACATTGATCGAATTATGTGGTAATCTGAAGGAGCAATATCCGGAGTATACGGCGGGGTTGGTTAAAACCTGTTTTAATGTTTCCAGATATGTTTACACTGGTTACGGTTGTCGAGCAATAAAATAACATGACTTAAACGCATCAATTGTAAATGGTAGCAATCCCTAGTGATGGTTTCATAGGGTTTTAACAATTTAAAATACGAGTATACCACCCCTTGTTGATCCCACCCAATACAAAGGAGGAGCTTAGATCCATGAATATTGGGTTTTGCAGCTGATGATGATGATTGTCCGTTCTTAATCCATCTTCTGAGTCTCGGATTGTCGTAATATATCCATTTTCCAGAGATGTAGAGAGCCCCTGAACTGTTTGACATGAATTTACTTAGAGTAGATTTCCTCTAACTTTTTATTTTCATACTTTTTTGGCTGTCCAGGTCTTTTCTTGTTGTCTAAATCAAAATCACCACTCTTAAAACGTGCAAACCATTTCCGACACGTTTGATCATCTAAAGCATGTTCACCGTAAATTTCTACTAAAATACGATGACTCTTTATAGCACTTTTAATCACACTTTATTTGGTATAAATTTCGACATTATTAAATAGCTGCCACTTGTAATAAACAATTAAAAATAACACAGTGCTTAATAACTGCTGATCGACGATCAATTTGTTTCTGAAGGGAAAAACCTGTTTTGTTATAACCATGAAATCTCTCATTAAATGCTACGAATTAATTCCAACACCTTAAAATATACAGGGTGACTGGTGAATTACTATCGATACTTGAGGACGTGATATTTGACGATCATATATGACAAAATAAAAATTAATATAACATAAATATTAATAAACTTCTGAGTAAAGTTAACCAAAAGTTATGTAATTAATTACGCATCGTGTGAACACCCTACAGATTAGGTATACACACACACACATGCGCGTGCGTGCGTGCGGCGGCGTGTTGATACAACACCACGCCGCCGCACGCGTCCACACTTGCAACACTTGGAACGTGTCAACACTATTTATTTATACAGAAATTTGGTCAAAAATTAAGTACCTATTTTTTTTACATAATTCGAATGACAATCATGCACCGAGTATTCTCCTTTAATATTGATACATACATGTATATATATATACAGGGTGACTGGTGAATTACTATAAATAATGCCCGAATACGGGCAGGAAGGGAAGCCGGGGAGTTTTAGTGGGTATTCCCAGGGCCAACAACATCAGGCTCTGAGCGACCCCCACACAAGTTACTTAGAAGTTTATTAATATTTATGTTATATTAATTTTTATTTTGTCATATATGATCGTCAAATATCACGTCCTCAAGTATCGATAGTAATTCACCAGTCACCCTGTATTAAGGTGTTGGAATGAATATTTATTAAACAAGTAATTAGTATCTCGACTAGTAGATAGCTTAAGTTTAATAAACCAAGAATCCTCATTATGTTTAACAAGATATAAGACACTTACAAAGTACCTAACTACTAAGTTACTCCTAAGTTTTGCTAAACTTTACCTTGAACTCGAGTTTGCATTATGAAATTATATCCTGAGAAGTTAGAAGTAAGAATACCGTCAAATGCGAAACTTTATAAATGAAAACTTGGAAACCGTTTGTTTTGTTTGGCCTTTCAAACCCGTGGTAAGGGCACAATAAAAACTTATAAAGGTCAAAAGAATACTGGAAATGTATTTCTTAAAGAGAGAAACGATCAGCAGTTAAAACTTCATAACCTACTAACTCGCAACTAATCTTTAGTAATATTCTTTTTGTCTAATCAACTTAAATTAATTATTTCCTCAGATATTTATTTCATCCAATATCTCAAAGATAAATTTATACCTGAGATCGGATCGGATTTATTATTTTTTTATCGGATTTATTAAGAATGTATTGGCAAAAAAACCTTTTATTTCATGTAAACCATATATTAAGATGACAGGACTTTTCCCAATTGAGTAGATTAATTCGGAGGTAAGTACTTATGTCATACACTACCCATATTAACTTACTTTATTTGAGTCATCTTAAACAGACTGAAATATTTCCGTCTAAAGAACTATGACGCAATCCATCTTGTTTATAGTGCAATTAGTAGCATCCATTATATCTAATTAATTTAACATACGCCAATGGAAATTTTACAACCACGATGAATCAATGGTGTTTTCGTTCGTAATATCACGATGCTAAACATTCTACCATCAAACAATTTAATTATATCAAAGGTCATTGCCAAAACAATTTATGTAAGTTCACCGATTAAAACGTATAAGGAAATGTTGCTGTCGTATCTTTTAGACGGCAGTAGTTCATGCAAAAAAATATAGTAGGGAGTTAAAAAATATCACAAATAAAACAACATTTAAAGAACGAGAACAAATCATATATTTCTGGTACATCAATGTTCGATTAAAATTTAAATTATAAAAGGCTGTATTCGGAGTGTGCTGGGAAAATCTTCTCGTATTCTCAAATCACTATAACTTATCACGGTCCGATTGGTCCCGAGCGAGGATATATTTTTATTAAGACCACATTTTCAATACATTTAAAGAAATAATTTAAAACCATTCCATAGTTAAATACTTTTTCATTCAAAATCATTACAAGTATTTTTCAATGTGTCAGATTTCTTCAAATAAAAAAACGTTTAAAATGTACACATCAGCTCTTATATTTTCAAATCTCGTCATTTCTGTATCAGCACGCTCCGAGCACATTCCTAGTTCTTAGTTAATTTAACAGTTAACAATAATAAACTGTTAGAGGTATATTTGATAAATATTAGTAACACATCATACAAAAAACCGCTATCAATCGTTTTGTAAAGACTCTGAAATATTAATTTTTCCAGTTCTACTTATATCACAATTCAATTATATATAGTATCCAGGCTCTGCGGCGTTCTTCGATACAATGTAGACTGTAGTATATACTTTTCATTTATCATTAATATAAGAGAGACGGTTACTTTAGGTTCAGAGGGCACGAAGAAACGTACATTAAAAAAATATAATTATTCCCGGTAATCTGAAGCGGTATTTATAAAAAGTTGGGTCATTTCTAGTTACTTCTATATATGTGAATGATTTAGTGCAGATGAATACATTATCATTTATAAATTCGTGCTCTTAGTTCTGGATCTATATAATTAATAATTTAAGCGTATATTCTGCGTCACTTGTACTATGACGTTAAGGATCTTATTTTAAATCTCAGAGATATAATATGGCTACAGAAAATATTTCAACATTATCTAAGCGCGATGTAAATTCATAGGTAATTTCCTTATTACATGCTAGACTATTAGTGTTACCAGATTTAATGACAAAAAACTACACTGACAAAAATCTATAAGATATCTATTTTGTTCGCACATAATAAATAAATAATAAAATTATAAACAAGCGTAACATTTATATAAAAATAACTACACGTGTTTGTATATACGTATAGCAATAGTTTTATTCTCTAACAAACTTATTATAAATAATGTTTTTATAATAAGAAATGCATAAATTATTAACAAAATAGGCCGTAAACAATTCTACAATAAAAACATTATATAATACATCGTACTCGTTTAATACCGCCTTATATTTATGACAATATTTTTTAATGTTCAGCTCCCTTTATTTATGATTCTAATGATTCACGAGTAATTTACTTATGAAAAAAATTGCGTAATAATAATAGAATAACTGTAATCTTATTATTAGCTTCTTTTTTGTTAGTTCGGTATTAAGTTTCTGGCTAAGCTAATTCATATTAAGGATGCAGCATCCATTGCTAGAGAATGAAATTAGCCTAATAATGAATTAAACTGAAATAAGCCTTGATAAATAAAAAGGTTTTTTCTATGTATAACTAAACAGATATTTATCTAAATAATAACGCTTATAAACTACATTTAACTGAGTTTTATAATAAGAATTGTATTTCATAGTATAATATATATTATACATAATTTTTATGATAAATGCCGGATTAAGATTTGAACTTTTATAATTATTGATAGCAGTGTAAACTTCTTTTGAGATTTAGTAATCTTTGGATAACCAGTTTAATATAAATAAATAATCGCAGTAGGTCATAACTAAATAATAAATTAAGCTCTAACGACAAATTAAAACAACTAGTATAATATAACGAACAAAATTACATTAATTTTTATTTTATTTAAAAACTCTTAAATTATTACCGATCTTATAAGTATATTCGAAATTATCTTTGGTCGTTTTTATTTTACTGTACTAACTTCACGAAATATTTCAATTAATATCAATGGTTTTATCATCAAGCTTGTAAAATATTTATAAAATAAATGTTTTAAATTATATAATACTAGATAGCCGTATTAAAATGTATTATTGACACGATATTATTAAACATACATTTTCTTATACTGTCAACACTGACTTAAGTCACATTATGAATGACAAGAGTAGGTAATAATGGCGGCCACTGAATATATGTGATGTTGCTGGAAGAATGTAATTGTGGGTTTGTTTGTGTGAATAAATGTGTTTTCGTCTGTGTTTGTATGTTTGTCTGTTCGTCTTAAGTACGCGAACGCGGCTGTCGCGTGTCGTAGGCACGAATGACGTCCGCCTGGGAGACACTCGCGCCCTCCTCTTGAGAGAACGCGAATCCATCTACAGATAGAACATATGTTATTATCATATAAAAAAAACTTTATTACAAAATTTAATTAGTGAAATTTATTTTTTTTTCCATAAAAGTATTTAAAATCGTAAAAAATATAATAAAAAAACCAGACAGTGAACACATAAAAGAGCATTTTAACGTAGTAAATATCGTAATGGTCACACATTAAGAGTAATGTCGGTGCATCACCAATGGTGTACTACGAGCCGGTGTGACGTCACCGCCTCCATAGCGTCGTGTTCTAGAGCGGTGCCTGCGTGGTCTACTCACGTGATAGTTCCATCTCGGTGTGCCTCTGGCCGCGTCGACCGAACACACTGCGCACGTTCTGCAGCAGGCGCGCCGTCTCCGTCAGGCTGCGTACAAGCACCGTTACCTCGACTACCTGGCACTAACCGGTTATAACCGGCTACAACCGGTACAGACCGGCACACCGTGCTACAGTTACTAAAAGCGCATCTACAAGCGTGCATGCCATGCGGCTGTACTCACACTGCGCCAGGCGCGCCACGGCCACCCGAGCGTCCGCCGCGCTACAAAAACCGTCTGTTAGCACACGCCATCCCCTCCCGCATTACAACGATGTTAGAAAACATCCGATAATTGTCACTTATTGTTAGTATTGTTAATATATTGCAATTTAAATTTCCATTAAACATTCAAGAGGAAGTATTACGATTATTTTTTTTAGGTTTTGTTAAAGGAAACGTTATGCCACAGTACAATAACAGTTTAAAGAAGAATGTTTTCTAACACGAATATTTTTCAATAATTTAATAATCACAGAAAATTTTCATAATTCAACACTTTATTAAATATATAAATTTTTTTTTTCACAAACAGTATCAATATAATTTTCTTACATTTAAAACGTCAGTAGTATTTTTCACAAAACAAACGTATATTAGGTCCTATCAATAAGTAAATGTGAGAGATGTATGATAAACTAAACTGAAAATGATAGAACTTTATACATGGTGCTACATTTAATAAAGATAAAACAATGCAAAGTGGCTTTAAAGAGACGTGCAGAAATATTAAACAATATTACAATAAGAAGCGAACAAAAGGAAGGAAATATATTTATATTTTTACAATCAACTTGATGAATGGAAGAACCATATCCAGCGTATAATATAGGAACACATAATATAGGAAATCCTATACATATAAAAAGCTAGTAACTCAAAAGTACAAGAAATTTTAATTAAATAATAAATTAATTACTTTTTTCTCTTAAAAAGCTCAGATTAACTGCAAAAGAAATTAATAATGAAACCTTTTAATAAACCATCAACAATGTTAAGAATCAATAAACAAAACATTTTAACTGATACCATTCACATAATACTTATCACATTTTGTTATCTATGTTATAATACTACAAAAAATATATTTTAATTCGTAACTAAGTTACAACATACGCTAGCGTACTAACAAATATACAAGTAGCTTTCAACTCATCACAAAAACAACATGGAGTGATATCACCCATGTTAAATGCTATAGCATATAAAATCAGACAAAAATATTTGTAATCTACGGTTTAAGTAGACTAATATCGCAGACTTGCAGATGGAATGCCTTTTTAACTATATATTCATCTAAAAACGTTACTAAAAAATCTACAGGCAGTTATATTTTGATTAACATTTGGTTTAAGGCTTTTTGATGTCCATACTTAATTTAAGCCACTGACTATAATAGAAACATTAACAGAATTAAGTAAATAAGGGAAATGCATCTTTGACAGCAATTTATTAGTTACATAAATATATCAAGAAATATTTTTTTCTATCTTATTGCTAATGGAAATAAATTGAAGTGTCCATTTATATGAGATAGTATGTTGTTGATATATAATGATCTTAACAGTATAAACATATTGTTATTAGTAACAAAATTCAGACACCCGACATTTGTACTAGCCATATAAAAATTTATTACTTTCTAGCAAATATTTCAATAAAAATATTACTTCAAGTGTGTATGATTTTAACATTCTTATGAATTAGAACAACACTAGCATGTAGTTTATTTACCATTTAAACATCCTCATTCCTCTCAAATAACACATCACGTAAGTCCATCTTGCAATGAGAAAATCGCTTTAAATCCATATCTACATCTATATAAATACACAATTATAAAAATATCACAAAACAACTATCATATGGAACATACTGTTTTGATACAGTGTACATATACATTAATATAGGAATATTTTGTTTTTTAATAGTGTTTCCTAAACGTCAAAATAACTTGCGCACGCGCCGTTTCCGATCGAAGGAAACAAAAAACACAAATACAAGTCAAGTATGTGTGTAAAAAAATTCAATAATGATATCGTATAACGTTGTAATGGAAGTATCGACAGTAAGTAACAAGTAACTAGCACCGCCTAGATGTGATATGTCGTGGGTGTCGTGTGTCAGGCTATGTGTCATATAACGTGCGAGACTCGCGGCCGTGGAGGTCGTCTCGGCGAGCGGTGTTCATAGTGACGAGCGGCAGCGGACAGCGCGGGCGGCTCGTCCTGTGGGGCCACGCAGCGTCGGCGCCAGGCGATCCCACGCACGGCCTCCCCCGCCCCGACTGACAACCCGCCCCGCCCTGCCCATGGCCTGCCCCCACAACCACAACGTCAACCTTAGCCCGACTGAGACAACAGCACCGTACACACTTACCAATTAATTAAAACATACGGTGATATTTTTTTTATTTAGGAGTCTCAATAAGGTATGTCGACCATATAATACAGTACAATGTATATCGGTACAGTGTGAACATACAATCGTCTCAGTGTGGCGTCTCGTGCGAGGAGGGGTGGTGCGAGCAAAACAATATAACGATGGTACAATATACTGATCGCGTGCAAACTACGCTTATACGTGCTCTTTATATGAAGTCCATATATTTTTATAACAAAAATTATAAATTCGTAACTTATTAAGTTCGAATTCTATCAGAAACATATGAACTTAACTCATATATTTAAAAATAAATAAAAAAAACTATATAATAAAAGTGTAGGATGGTAAATGTACATAAATAATTTGTATATAACTAATAATACATAGTGCCACAATCAAGTTAAATTTGTGCCAAATAATATGATGATATTATATTTATATAATATACAATGATATTTCTAAGTGTTGTTTTAATACATATTTCAGTGGGCTATTTAAATCTAAACCTATTTATACTATAGATTGTATAATGTGAATCATAATTTACAATAATCACATATAAATTGAGAAATAAAAAAAAACTGTATTCTCTTTACACAAATCTAAATGTGAAATGTAAGTGTTTTGCTCTATAAATAATTTGCTTATACTTACTCTACTCATACATGTATTTTCTAATATGTATATATATGTTTGTCTTCTAATTTCTAAATTTATTTTTATCTACAATAATATCTATTAAAATCATGTATGTATGACATATATGAATGAGTGTACATATATCAATATATACATGTATATATTATATGTTAGTCAAAATAACAGCCTACACACTGACAAACATCCATTCATCGCACTACAGCTTGAAGTTAAAATGTTTGCATGAAAATAAAAAAAGTAACAAAACAAAAGCAACTTTCATACATCAAACAAGATTAGTTTAGCATTTCATTGTAGAACATTTGCACATTAACTAGCTATATTTAAATATTAACACTGCCTTTCGAATTATACTTATAAGTGAAATTTTAAATAAATCAGATCAGGTATAGTTCATAGGGAAGTAAAGTTCGTCATGATCAACTAGAAGAGTATGATAAATTTTGAATACTGATAAATGTTCAAAAAGATACGAAACTTTAAATTAGACTCATAGTATATATAATAATTCTGGCCTATAAGAAAAGTATGATGATTATTATATATATATATCTATATGTGTATGTGTGTTTGTATATAAGGTGTTATATACTCACGATTGTCTCGGAAGCGCCAGTAGTGCGGCGGGATCTCTTTGTTTGATTTCACTCTCCCTCACCGCCTCCGTCATGGTTTTAAACGCTGAGTTATGAACGCTGAAAGATAACATTATATATTACAGAACTAAATACTATAATAATATGTAACTATAATATAAATCTAAATATTTTCCAAAGAGGATTGATGTCAGGCAGGCGGCCGGTTGTAAAAACAGTTAGCCAAAACTATTAACAAACATGTAAGGCCGACCCTGGCTAAAGGAAATTGCCAGGTAGATGAAGAAGATAAATAGATAATATACATCTAAGCCTTGTGTAATACAAAGTCATACATATGGTAGATGTAATACTTCTAAATAATAAACAATGCTTACTCAATAAATCTAAATGTCATAATTGCTAAGTCTCTAAATTGTTACATTCTTTGTACATCGTCCACTTCTCAGTATATTTTTCGCTAACTACTCGCTAATACTTTATTTGTGACATAAGAAATAATTTACGTATTATAGCCAACTTCTCCTTTCGACATGCTCGCACATACACAGGGTAGGTTCTCGTTGTTGGGGACATCGGATAAATATTCCATAGGTTCGTGGACATAGGCTGGGTGAGAAGGAATGGTTGAATATTGGGAAGGAGAAATGTAATGAGATCTAAGTAGTATCTAAGACTCGTGATTATTGATATTAATAAAACTAATATTTTCGGATTACTACGAAAATATAAAGTAACGCGTAGTAATCAGTCAGTGGTGGTCTAGTGGTTAAAGTTCCCGTCTCTCGTTGCCGAGGGCGCGGGTTCTAACCTGGCAAGTACCATTGTGATTTTTCGGAGTCCTAGAGTACTTTCTGAGAGTATTTAGACACCACTGATATACGGTGAAGGAAAACATCGTGAGGAAACCTGGACTTATAGTTTCACAATTATAAGTTCGAAATCACCAACCCGTCTTGAGCAAGCGTGGTTAATGCTCAAACCTTCTCCATGTGAGAAAGAGGCCTTTGCTCAGCAGTGGGCTCTGATAGGCTGATGACGAGTAGTAATCCGAAAATATTGGTTTCATTTAAGTGAGAAATATAGCAGGCATAAGTCATTGAGTACTCACACAGTGATGAGTAAGTCTGGTAGTAGAGTAGCGGCTGGTACCAGGAGTAATCCGAACCAGAAGACTAGCGAGCTGAACACCATGCGGTCCATCCCTCGCATCACAGCCCCGATACCAACAGCTGGGTACAGGTTGCTGTATATGAGGATGAATAGGAACCACAGCGCCACGGAGCCCCAGATAGAAAGGTGCGTCACCCACGTCCAAGAGTGAGTCGCTAGACCAGCCTTCAGGCAGACTGTTGCTACCACGAACTGGAATCATTAATATTATTATAGAAAATATATTTTTAAGAAATGTTGTTAACTTTACTCGACTCCATAAAGGGTTGGGAGAAAATATTTAATTACTCTCAAGATCAGAAATCAAACCTAAATTAAGTGTAGAGCGAGCATTATAATGATTTGACGTCAAGCGAAATTGTAAACCTGGCATTATGAAATTCATAACTCTTAGTATAGAGTAAGCATTATAGATGGATAAAGTGTAGACCTGGCCTTATAGGCTCTACTCATTACAGGTTATCTGCTAAGGTCCTAGATATTCTTCATACTCACAGTGTAAACGAAATTCCCCAGTACTAGATATCCGCCGTCTTTGCCGCTGGACCATAGTACGTGGTGTGCCGCTAGTAATACGGGCAGCCAGAACAACAGCACCGAATGCAGCAGCGCGTTCACCGCCCACACCCAGAACACGCGCACATTGAATAGAAGACCTTGTTGAGATGGAACATATAACACCGGATGCTGAAAAAACATTACATAACTAATCAGAATACTATTTTATTCGATAACATGCTGTAAAAATTCTAAGCAATATTAATACTTAATTAAGATTAATGTTTGTAATTATTTTATATCAAACATAGAAGAGGTGAATAAACTGTCTCTTAGAAATCTTCCTCATAATAAGAAATAAAAATATTCAGTTCTAGAATATCATATAAATATATGAATATAAGAAATTAATATTTGGTGAAATTATTTTCTGATGAATATTCAAAAAGATTTTAAATAATCAGTTTTGTGATATTATTTTGAGTGGAAGTTTCTACCCGGAGCATAATTTCAGGAGAGCAGATCTTGTCAAACAGTCCTATAGCGAATGGTGGCATTGCTGTGAATATGACGTTGTAGAACCCTATCGTCCACCGCTCGAACAGAATTTGCCCAGACCTGGAAAGAGATGTTTATACACATATTATTATACAGAGGATTTTACTATGAAAACTCTAAGGCACCAAATTCTAAACATCTATGGATTAATTATATTTTTAAGCTGTTCCAGATTATCAGTATGTTTTATTTATAATCTGTATAAATAAAAAAGTAATAACGTTTAGTAACAATACTGTTAGAGATAACATAGAAATAAGTAAAATAAACTTTACATACCATGCGGAATATATAGCGAACCACAATTCGATGACATACAGACAGATGTTCTTGTAGAATGAATAGAGAATTAGTTTGCTGATGCGTGAGTAGTTCCAGGCGCCGTGCACCAGCAGGAGACGCACCAGGAAACGGAACTGGAGAATACAATACGATAAAAATATAGCAATAAAAACAACAAAACTCGGTAGAGGGTAATAATAAATTATCAAATTGATCTACTAAACAAAACATATTTATTTCTTTTGTTACATACATGTATGAAACTAAACAATAAAAATAAACATGTATTTTTTTCGTATATCCATTCTGATGACTCCATATTCCTATAATTTTCTGCCATCTTTGAGTCATTATAAAAAACACAAAATGCACACTAAAGAAAGTTTTTTTAATATAAAAAATAATTACAGCTTCTTCGATAAAAGTAATCTAAGATAACCGTTACTAAATCAGATAAATATAGGTGAGTCTCGACAAAATATATTAGCTGTTTCACAGATTAGTCGGAGAGAACTCTCAGACAGACGGTAAATTTATCGTATAGATTCCTATTCAATGAATATAAATCGTTTATTTTAATATAACAAACTGACACTCCAACTTATATATGTGGTAAATATAATATGTGGTAGAGCCTGGCTGTGTCAAGTCACTAACGCTCGAACATGGGTTAGCTCGAAAGGTGAATTACCCTATCACAGAAGATCGGCGTGAAGTTGCCTTTAATGGCTGCGTTTCGTCCGATGAGTGAGAGAGCCAGTTGCCCTTTAAATTTTCCCGCACTTTCCTCTCCCTTTTACCCTAACAAGGGTGGTAACGCATCCGCAAAAGTATGTATGTATGTATTGGCTACGGTACTACCTCCGTCAGGTAGGTCGTCTGCTCGTTTGCCCTTTATGTCATAAAAAAGGAGTTACCTGTGCTATACTATAGTCGGAGGCACAGACCGCCTGTAGTCCTTCAACCCCCGAGACCCCGACTCCTACCGACGCTCTCTGTATCATGGCCACGTCATTAGCACCGTCACCAATGGCGAGCGTCACGGCGCCAGTTGAACGAGAAACTAGCTCCACTACCTGAAAAATATATGTAACGAAAAAGCTAGAAAAAATATCTCAAAATATTCGCCTGCACTGTCATTTGCATTCTGATCAGAGAATGAATGGTTTGTACTAGACATAATTGATACCTATCCAAGTAATCAACCAGCAGGGACGTCTATCGTTTGTGTCACGTGGCTTCATAATTTATACAACTGTTATGACTGGCTTCTGTGAAAACTATACGGAATGCAGGGAAACATTATATACGATACTCTGATATCTAGTCTACGTACATCTTCTATGCCCTCAATATTTGTTCAGTATGTTTTACGGGGAAGAGTAACAAACATATACATATCTTGACAATCTTTCACATGTATAATGTAATTATATAGTATATTACCTCAGCTTTCTGTATGGGCGAGACTCTGCAGCACACTACTGATTTGCACGATACACATAGATCTAAGAAGTCCTTCTTGAGATCACATCCCATAGCATACTTGAGCGTCTTTCCATCTATGACGAGTGCCACTTCGTTCTCTTTCCGGAGATTCTCACCAAAATCCGCCAGATGGCGAGAAAGACTTTCTCTCGTGCCCTAGTATAAACAATAGGAAATAAATTATACGATAATATGTTAAATATTCTTCATTGAGAATTCTTAATTTAATAATTCTAAATAATATTCTCTTTATAAACGTAATTAATATTCATTGTATCATTTACGAATTTGAGGTTGACAGCGTGTAGTCGAATACCTATTTGTGTAAATGTGTGTGTGTGTGTGTCTTACGTCAAGACTATCCTCATTCAGTATGAGTAGCGGCATGGCGGCATGCAGCAGTCTCGCCGAGTGCGCTACATTGATGGCAGTTTCTTGTTTGTCCCCAGTCAGTATCCACACGTGTATGTTCGCCTTCAACAACGCTGCTATCGCTTCAGGTACACCGTCCTTTAAATATACCAAAGTTATCGTTATAATTAATAGTATTTATATTGTGTAAAAAAATTACAAATTAACTAAACTTATATAATATTTCTATACATTACTTGTAATTTATCCTCTATGGCCGTAGCTCCTAGTAATCTTAAATTATTTTCTATAAGCATTGCCGCCTCTTCCAACTTCTGTTCTCGGTCTTGTATCGCTATGCTCGCTTTATGATAAGTGTTCGACCAGTCCTGGAAACAAATCATAACCGAGAAATAATATTTTAAACTATTTTGTTATGACATACAATACGTTTGAAAGATCTTTATATCCACTGATAACAAAAATCACAGTATAATTAGAAATTTCTTCTTTTGGTGAATGTATGTAACTAGCATGAAGTTTATTAGTTAAAGTGATATAATTAAAAAGTCACAAGTGACAATAACCAATTCACCTTGTAAACATTTTCTGGTATGTCTGCTACAGCGAACACGAGTGTTCTAAGACCTTCAGTGGCGAAGTGTTCCAAGTGTTCCAAAGTATGTTCCGCGTAGGGCGCTCGAGGACCGCCTGCCAGTCGAGGATATATGGCCGAATCCGCACCTTTACAGTATAACTTTATTTCACCTGTAAAAATACGATTATATATAAATTACATTCTTTTTTGTAGATAAGATTTTTATTTCATTTTGTGGAACTGACGTATATGATTCTCTATTTTACTTCATTAAAATGGAAAGTCAAAGCTGCATACATTATAGGTTTTAGAAATGTTGTAGGTAGGTAGTATACTGATATTTATAATTTACAGATAGTAATTGTACACCACCTCTGATCTATCTTAACGTGTATATAGTGTTATTTACAAATCTAGCTACTAATGCAGCAAAATTATTACAACAAAAACAATCAAATATGGTGATCAAGATTATATGATGAATGTATGAGCGATGAGTTTTTAAGACGAAATATATCCTATTAAATTTCTCTTTAAAATTTAAAAATTAACGCATTTGTTCTAACTTTGTTTATATATGTACCTGTTGGGGTTCGTACGACCACGGACATCCTTTTCCTAGCTGAGGTGAACGCTAGCACGTTCAGTATAGCGTATGTCCGCGACTCGCCTCGTTCTCTAACAGTGACCGCGTGTGGCGTCCGCGTAGTGAACTGCCAGCCCCAGGACGCCGCGCCACAGACTAGCGCACGCTCGTCTGACGTCACAGATAACACAGATTATACACTCTTATATGTAGTACACACTTACGGTAATGTTCGGTCGCTCGTGCGGCGCTCGAGAACCGACTCATTACTCAGTACATTTCTATGAACTATCTTTTGTTTCACGCGTCAGGCGTATTAATGTATATCTTATATAAGATGTATTAGCAGTCCTCATGCACTCGCCAAAGCGCACGATATGAGTTTAGTAAAGCGCTCAAACTTTTTGACCATAATTATTAGGAAATTTATTTTTATACGTTTTAAAATGTTTAAAAAATTAATATTAAAATGGTAATTTAAAAATAAAGATGAAGTAATATATTGTAATTTTTAAATCTTTTGAATTGATGGTTCAGCGCACGAGTGCACTTAAGGTACAGCCGCCACTGGTTCAAAGTAAGCTGATGTAAATTCGTCTATTTAGGTTTTGGGGGAAATATTGAGCTTAAACTAACTTGAATTTAAATTGAAATAGAAGTTAAATAAGTTATTTACAGTTCTTTGTATATTGTTCACATGATCTCTTACCGGGTGATGCTGCGTGGTAGTTGATCTTGCCGTCCACCATCTCCGGGATGACGGTGTGACAGACAGCCAGCATCGTGAGAAACTCTGATATGACGGGAGCGCTGGGGTGACCGCTGTCCAGGTGTTGGTACAACAGACTGTCCTCCAGACGCTCGCCAGGCTGCAGCTTGTTGTAGATCACCTGATACATATCAATAAATGGGAACCCACCCCAGACTCGCAGGAGTACTTTACAAAAAATATAAAATAGCCTATGTTGCGTATAATGCCTTGAGTACTTTTTTTTGAGTTAAATCAAGACAAACAAAAATTTCAACATCTTTCTTCTTTAAACATAAAACTTAGTTTGAACTTAGAAAAACGGTATATTTTTATGTGAATAATAGTTTTTTAATATAATAAAATTACAATAATTTTGTATATAAAATTAATGACGTGATCATGTGAAAAAGTGAGCTATCGCGTGGATTTAATTTTGAGAATTATTAAACTTATGATAAACTTTTCAAATGGTACGTCCGAATAGAATAATTCAAAAAGTAATTTGTAGATACTGATGTAGGTTTGAACACGGAGCAATTTATTTTGATAAGACTTAGTACTGTTATGAAAATAGCTTTCCTACAAACGCTTCATGAATGGCAATTTTTAAAAGTACTAAAATGGATATATTATGTTATCCTTAAGAGAAAGACATATGCCATCGCGGACTTTTCTATAGACCTATATTAAATACACAATTCCACGATACATTGTTTTGTTATATCTCAAAGGGTTTTTGTCAGCGTTTTCGTTAAAAGATCCCAGGCGGCTCATGTTTCCGGACATCTTCAACAAATATCGTTAACGTACACACGAATCAGTACAAAACCTTAACAAATTATATATTAAAACCTTTCTCGATACTCACGCTATCGAATGGTGAAAACGGCTTGGTAATTGGTGCTGTAGTTTTTCTGTTTCTTACAGACAAACGCGGCGGGGGACTTTGTTGTATAATATATATTGACTTTCACCTTTTATAACTATGTATCACTAATTGATAATTAATTTCCTTAGAATACCACAACAAATATAATAAGTAAAAAATGTAAAACTAAATAAGAAATAATCCATGTTAGTGATAAAAAGCGATCAATTTTATTTTATACACAACTAACCGTTACAAAATGTTAGCGCTGATTAAAGTTGGTGATGTGTGTATATAAGGTGACTTGTGTGTATGTGTTTGCGTACATGTGTGTGTGTGTGTGTGTATGTACCTCAGCGATGGAACATTTCCTGAACTCCATAACGTTGCATGTGAGCGTGCCCGTCTTGTCACTGAACACGTACCGCACCATACCCAACTCTTCGTTCAAGTTCGACGTCCTCGCCAACGCCGGAGTGTCCGTTTCCTCGTGGTACATTTCACTGTCCATCGCTATAAACTTGGCCTGTAACGTATTTAATTAGGTTTATAAATATTAAAAATATTCATAAAATTATAGGTTCCATTATTATACTCACTTGGAAAAACCTAACTATCTCCGCGGTAACTTGTAACGATATAGGTATAAGATTGTTGTATAATATCAAAAATGTTAAAAAATTGAATCCGAAATGTGCATTCTGTGCTTCTGTAACAAAACAAATATAATTATATTAGTAATATATACTATAAAACAAAATCAAATTTCAATCCTCTAACACGAGTTTGTATCACAATATGCAACGCATCGTTTATACTTTTTATTTCATAAATCTTCGCACATGATAGTATGGAAACCTGAAAATATTATTAGGTGGAGAAAAATGGAAATAATACTTATTATATTGTGACCATACAAACTTGTGTCGCTCTTTACCCAGTAATACGGGTTTGCACCTACTACAAGGGCCCCCCTTGCAACTTGTTTGTTATGTAATCCTTGAGTCAATAAAGTTTTTTTTTATGGTCCTAAATATTCCATTAAACAGAAATAACAATTTAACTATACGTAAAGAGAAGAATTGATGGTAAGGGCTAGTGGTTCAGGTAATTGGTTAGTTACTAACCATCGAGTCCTATGTACCAATCCGAGGCTCGTCTTCGCAGCCATAGTTCATTGCAGGCCGCACTCAGGAGAGACAGCACCAGCAGTATGATGAACAGCATCAGGATGTGGGTGTTCGTCTGACGATCGATAGACGACCGCTTTAACGGAGCTGAAATTACCATAGTAGGAAATTATTGATGGTGTTGACATTGTAATATACAGTAGCTAATTTATTTATATATGCACATATTATGTACCGTAAACACGTTAAATTTATATTAGACACTTAAACTTTTTTGGCAAAAGAATATGAGCGTAATTCAAAAAGTTATAAATTTATATTCTCATAATAATCAATGCTTTAACTAATAAATTTGTTATTAACTTTTAAAAATCTCGTTCAGAATTTCTCGACTTATTGCATCCGCTGAACAAATCCAAATAATTAAAAATACAAATTAACAGTATGCTGTAGTATACAATTAAATAAAAAAAACTTAGTTAGTTACCTTTGGTTGAATTCTTCATAAGCTTGGTCTCGTGTCCGGTGTACACGACGAGAGCATGAAGCCACGCCGTGTTTCTCAACATGGCGCCTCTTAGAAGCATTTGTTCTAAACCAAGGGGAATGGTCCTGTAAGAAACAAAAATAATACTGTAGCACATACTAGTAGGGTCGTGGTGACCTAGAGGTTACAGGACCGCCTATCATGCATGAGGGCGCGGATTTCTAACGTAGCAAGTACCCAATGAGGTTTTTCTGGCTGGCGGTGAAGGAAAACATTGTGAGGAAACTTGGACTTATAATTTAAAATTATAAGATCGAAATCGCCAACCCGTTTTGAGCAAGCGTGGTGACCAATGATCAAATCTTCCCCATGTGAGAGGAGGCCTGTGCTCAGCAGTGAGCTCTGATAGGCTGATGATGACATAATAGTAGTACCAGAAATGCTTTTGAAGTTTGTTTTTAATGAACACTCTTTTGTATTTAGGACGTTCGTTTATTTTATTCATACATACTTGGCATTGGCTTCTTTCAACATCCCGTTGAACTCATACAGATGTCTGTTGGGCGGTTCACACTGTACGGTGGCACGGAACCCGGCCAGCGCTGCGGGACTATCGAGACGTGCTGTGTCAGGACTGGCTTGACGGATCTTCAGATTGGTCTCGCCATCCAGATTGGACGTTTCAATGAAGGACATACCTTGCGGCTCGCTGAGAATTAGCTAATAATTATTTTCTATTACGACCCTAACCTAAAAACTAAATTAGAGCTGAAATGAAAATACTATCAGCAGCTCTTAAAAAAATCAATTACTAGCTCCTACCTTGAGGCCAGCAGAATTAGGTCAGCTGGAAAGAACTGGTTGTTGAGCACTTTACAGATGTCTCCAACCTGCAGGCGCTCCCAGCGGATGCTCTGCCAGCAGCCGCCGCGGAGCACCTCCACCATCCGCCGGTTCGTCTCATCGTCCGCTCTGTGACGTTTCTAATAAAACAACAATATACCATCACAACCATTACAGTCTATAATAGTTGAGAACTCCTGCCGTTAAAAAATATGATTTTATTGATTTTGGTTTATGACTCTAAGGTCGATGTTGTACTCACAAAATCCTCCACGATCTCTTTGATGGCGCTGACGCTGAGTATGAGTATAAGCGGTGTGAGCGTGGTCCAGCGACCCGTGGGAGACACATCTGGGATCTGCTGCAGCAGTGCAATCAGCAAGAAGAAGCAGTTGGAATAGCGACGGAACTGCTCGAACAGGAATAGCGGCACGAACGATGGCACACTACACAAATAAAATGTACTATCATTATATGATGTAAATAACTTTGTTCGTAGATATGAGATGCAACTTTGTATCCATTACGCGTAGCATTTGTATTTTTTTTTAACCAATTAATTGGTCCTTTAAAAATTATTAACACATTAAATCAGGACTCTCGTCGATATTAATTTGTATTTACGTTTTACAATTAAAATATGTTTATAATACGTACATCATAAATAATATTTCTTAAGCATTCCGGAATAGAATCTATTATGAAAACAAACAATCTAATCTTGAGTAAAAATATTTAAGAATTTTAAATGCAGAATCTCCTTAATTTATATATACTCTGATATAGTCACAATACCTAATTTACTAAATTAATTAAGAGATCTGTGAACGAGTATTTCAGTTTCTATCTAGTTTGTATTCCGAACGAATTGAATTAAATCAGAATTTGAAATTAAAAATTATTTATTGAAATTTTGATAGGAAGTGTATTTTTATTTTATGACTAGTAAACCCGGCGAACTCCGTTTCGCCACCAGAAGGCTTTGTTTTATGTAACCTTTCGTTTGGTGATTAAAAGATGAAGTTTTTTTTTGTTTTATATTTGAAAAGGAAAGTTTTTATTTCATTTCACAATAGTAATGAATTAATTTCGATTACAAAAATGTAATGTTATTTAGTTGAACTTCTCTAAGTAAATGAAAGTGAATCCAAAGTAGATACCGAATCGAAGCGTTATACGTGTCCGCAAATTATCCGTTTCATTGAATTGCTCTTTTGTAAACCATATTTTTTGTAGTTTGGTCTAACGTTAACACCAATAAAGCGGATGGTTTTCCAACTCGTGAACACGCAAAATATAACTGCCCATGTGAAAAACAATGATTTTTTAACTTTATCCCGCAAATACTAAATGGTTTTAAGAGTTTAAACTACAAACACAATACCGGTTTGTCACATGAAATTAACTGAGCAGAGAACAATGAGTAGCTGTCAAACAATGTATCATGCACCGGCACCATCTACTTAAAATATTGATTTGCTATGTGTGATGGCGCTGTATGTGAAAAAAGATTTTCCCGCTTTTCTGTTGAAATTTTTTGTTATAAACCTCACGGAGCCCGAGACCTTTCCAACGAATACACAACCGTGGAAATCGTTCGTTCTGGAGTTATAGCGTCAAGAAGGAAAACCGGACTTATTTATATATAGTAGATTTCTTACAAATATCAAATTTTCATCCATACGTCATTACATAACTGTCATTACACGTCAATTACATAGCTGTCAATTGCGTTTTGTTATTCCAAGTCTGATTCTTTTTTGTTATACCACGTTTTATAGTGACTGACGTTTCATGTCAAGTCACACGGGAATGCTGTCGAACGGGATAAAAAGTATCCTATGTCCTTCTCCTGGCTCTAAACTACCTCCCTGCCAATTTCCAGCTAAATCGGTTCAGCCGTTCTTGAGTTATAAGTGGAGTAACTAACACAACTTTATTTAATATATATATCTATACTAATATTGTAAAGCTGAAGAGTTTGTTTGTTTGTTTGAAAGCGCTAATCTCCGAAACTACTTGTTCGAATTGAATAATTCTTTTTGTGTTGGATAGTCCAGTTATCGAGGAAGGCTGTGAGCTATATAACATCACGCTATGACCAATAGGAGCAAAGATATAGTGGTAAAGGTGTAAAAAACGGGAGAAATTATTTCATCTTTCAAGCCTTCAGTTGCGTGCGCCGTGAAAACGGTTTAAGATACACAAAAAATATGTATTAAAGAATAATAGCTCTTTTAATGATCTAAAAAACAGTCCGCGACAGTATATGTCTATCTTTTAAGATTAACTCACAAAAACCGTTTTTATGGTACCTAATTTAGTCGAAATAATTTGTTTAAGTTGTATCAAAATAATAATATTAATCTTTATTCATATAAACAAATAAATATGTTGTTGGTTAAGAGTACTTCATTATTAATAAAAAAAATACGTTTCATCCTGAAAATTCTACGGGAACTCGACCATTCCGAAAACCCCGCAAGAACGGGAACTATGTGGGAAGAACCAAAAATCTGTCGGAAGTAACTATTCCACGCGGACGAAGCCGCGGCAAAAGCTAGTCCTATATAAAGTTAAAGCAAAAAAAAATCATTAAAAAAAATTAATGCGTTGTAGGAAATATATATTTATTTTAAGCTCAAATATTTATTTAATTATTCAGAAGCTGACTGCGTTTTTCATTATTTTTTAAACAAAGGTCAAATATATCGAAATGCGATAGTTAGCATTGTTAAAAGGTTTCCAAGAAACTGTTTGAGCAATCCTATAATTAAGATTCATATGTTTAAAGCTACTTTTAATTTGGTGAGCGTTTAACGCGCGTTAGATAGACGTCTCTTAAACCTACACCTAGGTCACAAGTCCTAGTCACTGTTGAAGCTCCTCTCACTACAACGATGGACCCGACACACGCACCGTGAATACATTGAATAATGCGAAGTTTCGTCTCTTAACCATATGTTTGAGAGTTGAATGTCTCCAACCATACTATTTAACTCTGATACACCAGCGTAAATTAGTTATTTAATTATGAACAATTCAGTCTTCGTGTCCTTCTAAGGACTAGTGATGTACCCGACATGTATGCATAGTCTACTTACATCGTTACAAAGATTATTAACATAATAATTCAAATTTATTTGCCGCTAACTTTAATACAAGTTCATTTAAAGACGCGTGAAAACTGTCAAACAGAAGGTACCTAATATAACGAGTTTTCACGTCTTTCTTCTTTCACAGATTCACATCTTTATGCTTACTCTAAGTTAGCATTGATTAAATACGAACATTCTTCCGTTTCTCACCACGTTAACACTAGTATACATATATAAGATTAAGTATTGTTTAAATGTAAAAATATACAAGGTGAATTTCGTTGTAACTTTTACAGGGTACGTATAATAAATAGACAGAGTAATCAGATGATGAGCGTCTAATTATAAAAATAACGACAGATTTACAATGTTGACACCATTATTTGAAACATTGAATACTCAGATGAACGTTAGCTTTTGATTCATTCAGTAATAGATAGGTGAAATAAATCATTAACAGTTAAATTAAGTCCTGTTTAAAGTCGGAGATTATGTGAAAGAAAATAAGTATATTGTAGTAGTTTCTAGTTAGGCGGCATTCGGTTTATAACATATTTTTTCATATAATATATATTTACGAAGCGATTAAAAATGACATTTTTATTTACAGACTGTCGCGAGCTAATCAAAAAGTGATCCTCTATAAACACAGCTCTGAAAGCGTATCTATCATTTTTATATAGTGTAAATTTATAACATAATGCCTAGTAACACATCTAGAAGCCATCATGAATACATGATATGGAATAGGTAAACAATGAGCGTACATTGAAACGACGGGCGGGCAGAGAGCCAGCGGCTTCTACTGCAAATGTGTCACAAGTAAACAATACGATATCCACTACGAATAAACCCATATCAAGGTTACACTACAGCTTTAGTGACACTGAAATTGATCGAAGCTTTAATCTAAGGATAAACATTATCACCCTAGTATATATTTTTTTGCAAGTTATGTTAAACACCATATACGCTTCATATGTAAATCTGTCTTTATATTATTATTTTTGATATATTTTCTGTTTGAATGCCTGAAGTTTCATTAAAATGTCCATGTATTTAATAATATATCATAAGGGGAATCCTATTAATTCGAACGTCATACTCTGTTAATATATTCGTATGAGGACGTGCTCTGTTATAGTCGGCGCCAGGGTCGCTCCAATGATGTCATGGAGGGTGGACCCATTCAACGGTCCATTTTAATACATCAAACGATACCTTTTATAAACACTTCTATGACATTTTATTGATAGATACTTGATGTAGTGTTTTGTATCGAGAATAGCTTATCTGCTTCTGATGGTATCGAATTACATGATATACTGATATGAGGGAAATCAAACTTCTTATCGGAACTTTTATTTCTTAATATCTTCGTATATAGATGACTCATCAAAAATCACTGTTGTGGTTATTTGACAGTTATTTTTGTGATTGTATTTTAGTAATTCGTAATAATTTTATAAGATTCTTACGAAAATTTTTAATAATTCAGCTTCAATATTATAATAACAGTATATTTATATATACATTTCACTCTGGATATCCGTATCCGGGGCTTGTATGTAATAAAATATTTGTAGTGTTTAGTTCAATATGTATTTCGATCGATTATTATCGATGCAGTAGCTGGAAACCGTGGGAGTTCCTAATCTGTCCTTGACAAAACCATTACACTTCAAATTATTACATAAATGTCTGTGTATGAGCGATCAATTAAATTATATAAAAAATACTATAACAAAAACAAGTGTGATCTTTCTTTGATCTTACAATACAAAATGTATGAACTAAATTTAGAATAATTAACCGTCGTTAAAATCACGCCTTTTCAGTGTCCATAGTTTTCGTAATAATATTTTATTGTTTTACATTTAAATATTATTAAGAGAGGAGAAAAGGCAAGAAGGCAAGGGGAAACCACTGCACTATATTCCCAAGAAAGTCATCATCAAATTAGACGAGTGGCGACGTGTTGTGAAGCGTGCCACCGCACATCATGATGACCACGACCGTTCTGCCAAGAACGTATCGACTTAGAAGAAGAAGAATTATTAATATTGGTGTATGATGTAACGTGTACCTGTACTTAGCTGTGGATATTCTGTTGTTCACAAACTTCTGTGGTTGCGGATGGTTGACGAATATGACGCGCTGTTGAAGGTCGTCCGCGGGGTCGTCTGTGATGCCAGAGGTCGTAGCCTCATCCTCATCTATGGAAGAGACAATCACATCTTAGAAACAATCAAGATCTTCCACCATAACCCTTGAGTTTATATGTAAAAATAAAATTTTATGTCAATTAGACCTGTTGCGATCGAATTCATAATTAAATATCAATATTATTACAAACTTTTAATATATGTAATCGGAAAGCTAAAGTAGTCTTATTTATACAAACGTCAAAAAATCTCGATAGATTATTTTTGTAAATGTACTCTTGACTTTATTCCGAAAGATGATGCATGAGTATCTATAAATAAAACCGTATAAACAATTCCTTCGTATCAACATCAGGGAGCTCTGTTTTCTTTAACAAAATGTAAGAGACATTTTTGTGGTGAAAATTTATCCTCAGGAAATCCTAAATTAAAATATTAATTAAACGACAAGCACCTCATCCGTTCCACTTGATTTAATTGTGACGAAAAATAAACATAAAAGTAGGTTAAGGTTGGGTTACGATGTCCATTTTAAGATGAAGTGAGTTATTTGCGGCTTTCAGAATTTCTTTCCGAGTAATTCACGCCTCACCATGATTAAGCAAATACTTCGAGATAACATAGCGATAAACTATATATGAACATGTTAAGTATTTTTTTTTAATGAAGGGACTATTATTTATTAAGAATTCGGAATTATATTTATAAAGTCTAACAAATCTATTAAAAGGAAAAAGAGATAAGTAGTTTAAAAAATATTAATATGATGGTTACTGTTAGGCTTTTTAATACAAATAATGTCAAGGAGAAATCTTTACGTGACAACTTTTCTACGCTTAAATGTTCAGCTTATCTTTGACGGAAAAATGTCTATTTACTGTTAATCATTAAAAATTATTAATAAATCTTCTTCGTTAAAGATATTCATTTCAGTAAATATGAACAAAAAAATATAATTTGCAGTTTAAATTATAATTTTTATGGAATAAAACAAAAGAAATAAATATTTTCGAATCAAAGAATTCCAATGGTAAAAAAATTAATTATTATATGCAAAGTATAAGTCATACATATGTATATTGTCATGTTTATAAATACATTTAATGACATCTTTATGTACTAATAACGTTATTGTTCCATGTCAATTAGTGAGTAAAAAACTTCACAAATCACTGACATTATTCATTAAAGAGATTTGCAAAAATACATGTTACATACATACATCTATGGTGATGTTTAAGTCAATATAAGATACGACACTTTATCGCCTCCCAATGACAGTGTGAATGTTGTAAATTTTAAGCCAACGTAGTCATACATTTTTATAACATGATAAATCTATGGTGATAAACAAATACCTTTATTATATAGCCTTAATCAATATTTGTCAAATGTTTTTAAAACAGACGCGTTCTCAAATACAGGTTGCGGTAAATGCCTTAACTGCAGTAATAAACATAGCAGAATGCAATGTATTTCATCTTCTTTTATATTAAAACACCAGGTTCGTCTACAATATGACCGCGGTGATATAAGGTCTTATCACAAGTATACTCAAAGTACAATAAAAGCTAATTCGTTTTTATGGATTTTTAAATATATTTCACAAAACAGACATTAATACAGTTTGGATTAAATGCAAACTACATTATTTTACTTAAGTATATCGTTTTGTATACCTTAAGTACTTTCTAGCCGTTTATAGTCGTTTATTTTTTTAAGTACAATTTAGTATAAACAACAGGTTTATGGATATTTGAGATATAAAGAGCTTCCAATGACAACTCTTTCCTATATTGTTCATCAATGCATTATTTCTTGAATCAGCACTATTTACAAGGAATTAGATATTGCAGTAAGAAAATTAAGAGATGGCAATAGGAAAGTTTAAAACGCAATTATGTTTTATTATTGCACAATATAACGACATATTTTATACAGCACAAAAAAATCAAAAACAGCAAAGTTACGTCGAAAAAAGGCTAAACACAAGAAAATTCTTCTTTAGTAAAAAAAAAACCGTACTTTACGAATTACGTCACTGCACGAGAATCGACCACATATACTAAATTTGACTAAATTAACATCTCACAATTGCTGTTAAAATTCCAATGTTTGTGTAAGAAACTATTAAAGTATTATTAAATTAACAATTTAATTATAAATTATAAATAATTCATACATTACAAAAACTTTTATTTTATATATTATAAAGAAAAAACAAAGAAATAGAGAATTTTAATTTTCAAGTCTATGAAAGATGTCTATATATACTATAAAAGAAAGCCATGTTAGTTACACTATTTATAACTCAAGATTGGCTGTATGGATTTGGCTGGACAAAGTCACAGACAGACAAAGTGTATGTGTATTTATTTACAAGTTTCCAACAAGTTTATGTCAAATATAAAATATGACAGATGTATTTCAAATAAAGAAACAAAATATTACTTAGAAACTTCATAATGTTATAATAATTATATTCTTCATAATTTTATCATTATGCATATATATATAACGTAAATAAATTAAAATATGTATTTGAAATGAAGCACCTTCAAGAACTAATACTGTCTTCACCTCAGTACAGGACACAACACAAGTTATGTCCATTCAATAAGAATTACTTCTAGAATTCCCATTATATTTATAATAATTTATCAATTTGGCATGACTAGCATATACATATGTAAGTATAGTCCGATAGACTTAAACTGAGCTGTGCATTTGTGTGATTGAAAGTAAAAGTAGAGTTAGACAAAAAACTTTTAGAAATCAATTCTATTATATTTTAAATATATACATAAACATAAGTGCGAGATCTATTTCAGATTAAAAATAAAATAAGCAAAACTTTTAAAAGGCCAAATGGAAATATTATGAAGAAAAATTATAACGTAATAAAAATTTTGGCGGAGTAAAAGCAGAATAAACCGGTTCGAAACTACAAAAGAATGTGGCATTCAAAAATTTGACATCACACCTGAGCTTTGCATTTGTGAGTGTACACTATCCGTGTACACTCACACAAATGCAAAGCTCAGCTTAAATCAAACGCACTATAACTTATATAAAAGTATAATTATTCATATTAAACATTAAGTTTGTCTGCATTTGTTATTAAATATTTTCGATTCCTGTCTGTCCGATGTGTTTGATGGTCCTGGCAATTAGAATAAACATTTGTTAATCTCATATACAACATTTATATGTGAATTTCATATATTGTTTACCATCAGAGTTAAACAAAAATAGAAGTAGTGTAACAGATAGTAATTAATTTTTTTATTACATAAATGGGTTTTTATAAATTTCTCCAAAATTATAAATTTCTCCAAAATTTGGTGAGAAATTTTCAATAATGTTGAAAATATGTAAGTATATTTAGTTCAAACATAATTTAAGTAATTTGACCTTACAATTATGGTTAGATTGTTATCACTACCAAGCTGTGTCAAGGTTAACAAACCTACTGATACCAAAAGAAAACAAACTCCAAAGAAAATATAACAATATTGTTAGTGTTTTATTTTAAGAGATATCCACTTCAATTAATAATATTTCAAGCAAAAATATTTTTATAAAAAAAAAAACAAGTGGAAAAAACTTGTATATCTCTATTGTTTTCATAATTACAATAGGTAGGTATTTCTATTATTTCAAAAGTATAATTTAATATTTAAATTTTCAATTAACAGGAATAATAAATACCATAGCATAATTATTTTTAACCTACTTATAGTTTCTCCTTATCAATATTTATTTATTTAAAATGTTTTTTGAAAGTATGAAGTATACTTAATATTTAGAATTCAACAAGTGGTCCGAAAACTGAATTATATTTTTCTTCAATATTATAATAGTGGCTGAAAGTTCTTTATCAATAGATGAGCTTAAGAAAGTATTTTCTTTCTTTCAATGTAATTTAAGTGCCTTACTTACGTTGGTTCATTTTGAGCACCATAGCTCTGTATAATCGGGAGAAAGGCGCCATCGCGTTGTGCTCGTGAAAGAACCCTGATAAGTATTCCCGGAATGCCATTCCAACTAATTCCGCAACAGCCAACACAAATACCTTTTCACGACTCTACGCGACGTTTAAACATTAGTAAAACATTAAATTTGACACACATTATCACCATAATATAATTTTGAAAACGCAAGAAACACCGTAAACTGTTCAGACATTCTTATTCTATTTATGAGTTTTAAATATTTTTTGTAGGAAAAGAATTTTTTTATTACTATCACATATTACGTCCGGGCTCTTGAAAATGTTTATATACTTAGAAATTACGTGTTGACAACAGAAATAGCCGCTAACCGATCAAATATCGATCTTTCTTCCACCTCCCACAACAAATGATTCTAACTTCTAAGGAATAATGTAATGTCAAATCACAAATGTCAAATAGTGAAGCTTCATAGAGTACCACAGAATCGTAAGCAAAATCTTGCCGATACCCATAATTCCGATTCTAACATAAGTCGACGTAATTTTCTCGATTCCTTTGAATAGCTTAAGACTTTTAAAATCTGCGTACATGATTATGATAATATTTAAATATCTATTGGTATTAGTTTAATTCATCGATGTGTTCATTTTTTAGTATAGGGTATAAATATAACATGTTGCGCATTACTCTAAAAGCATTCATTAAATGACGACATATTTGAATGGGTAGCGATTTTATATTATACCATAAAATACATACTAAAAATCTATGATTTTACACAAAAAAATTGCTGAAATGTCGATTTTAAATTTTGAATCGATAAATTACATTAACGACAATAATCGATTTCAAACTTAAAGCTCAATAACCCATAACACCGCAAAACTTTCATAATAAAATGACAGCAGACTTGACAGTTATTGCCATTCCTAAAAACAAGCAACCATAAAGTAAGTTACTTTTTGAATAGTATGTGGTTTATACCACATACTATTAAAAAAGTCACTAATTATTAAGTAAGTAAGTTAAAAGTAAGTAATTATTATTAATAACAGACACTTTGTTTTATTATTCAATTCATAAAAACGTTATTTTTTTTATTTAAGTGTAATAAAATTATTTAATGATTAATCCTTTTATATGTTTTATTTATACAAAAAAGTGCATAAATGGCTGAAGTGCAGTAAGATAAACTTTTTACAGTTTTCTTATTACTTTTAATTTGAGTTCTTAAAGAATTTCTAATCTCGTTGGAATTTGTATTATAAATAATGTGTATTTTTATTATAAAACACGTACATTACGTCATGGAACAGTCATTACTAAGCCACTTAAAACCTATTTATTTTATTTGTGAGTACTGTTGAACTCTATTTAGCCATATTCATATAATATTATAAAACTGGACCACATTTTGAAGATGAGATATAACGATGAAAACTGTTTATTGAATTCACACCTTAAAATTGGCTTTTTAAACAAAATGACAATATATCTGTCAATTATTTAATCGATATTGCTGAATGTGGATATCAAAGACGTTAAGTTGGCCAATAAATATAAAATTATTCTTTTAACTTATAACAATAACAGAAAACCCTAATTCTCCTTTATTAATGGCATCGGCCTCAATTAAAATTTCACTAGGAAGACGGGAAAATTTTCGTAGACTTCTGCTCACTAAATGTGTAATCGTATTTTTTAGAAGGCTTCGTTTTATGTAACATTTCTTTTGGTGATTAAAAAAATTATTTCATTTCACAACAGTAATGAATTCATTTCGATTACAAAAATGAAGTGTTATTTTGTTGAACTTCTCCAAGTTAATGAAAGTGAATCCAAAGCAGATACCGAATCGAAGCGTTATACGTGTCCGCAAATTATCCGTTTCATTGAATTGGTCTTTTGTAAACCATATTTTTTTGTTTTTTGGTCTAACCTTAACACAAATAAAGAGGATGGTTTCCCAACTCGTGAACACGCAAAATGTAACTGCCCCTGTGAAAAACAATGATTTTCTAAATTTATCCCGCAAATACTAAATGGTTTTAAGAGTTTAAACTACAAACACAATACCGGTTAACTGAGCAGATGAAATTAACTGAGCAGGTGAAATTAACTGAGCAGAGAACAATGAGTAGCTGTCAAACAATGCACCAGCACCCTCTACTTAAAATATTGATTTGTAGTACATGTTATGTATCAGAGATGGCGCTGTATATGAAAAAAGATTTTTCACTTTTCTGTTGAAATTTTTCCTGAATTTTTTTGTTATAAGCCTCACGGAGCCCGAGACCTTTCCAACGACTGCACAACCGTGGAAATCGTTCGTTCTGGAGTTATAGCGTCAGAATGGAAAACCGGACCTATTTTTATACAGTAGAAGATGTATGTACATATGTGTATACAGGTATATGTATACACCTGGATATATGTTTTTTATTCCCTGTTTAATATACTAGTTCTAACTTAATGTTCAGTATGCTAGTTCTAAGTTGAGTTTTCAGTTCCTTTCATAAAGTTTTACTTTGAGTTGGATACATTTTATTTAATTAATAATTAATTAGGAGAAATGGCAGTACTAACATCTCAATGTAAACTTATTTTATTGCTAACTTTTACTTCAAAAGGAACAAGATTTTTAATATTAGTCAGACAAATTGATTTTATTAATTAAATATAAGACTTTACGAGTATTGTTTTAAATAAAACTAATATTTTCGCATCCGAGAATATTAGTTTTATTCAAATCAATTATTGTCATGGGTATTGTAGTACTTACAATATATTTTTTTCAAATAAGTATGCTCAATTTTGATTAACCCTAATGGGTCTAAACTCTAAATAATAAAACCCCTCTGTGTTTTATTTATTATGAAATTTACATTTCTGTAGCATTAAAAATATGTCGTTTTATTATAAGACAAGTCTCTATAATTCTGATGATTATCAGTACGTAGCACTTACTTATTCTAATTAACTTCTAATATACTTATAAGTACCTACCGATTATTATTGAATACAATATTTTTAACACTGCACTGGTAGTACCAAATACATATATTAAAATAAAAAAGTCAAGAGAATTATTTTAGTCGCTGCTAATAATGTTTCTGAATTTGACAATGACATGTTTTCGTGGTAATTTTTAATTATAACCAACCAGTTCTTGATCTTACCGATATATCGATCCTATATCCTGTGAAAATTATATCTTATCTGACTGATAAGCTGAGTCGTGAGTCAATATTACCTCCGCCCCAAATTATCCCAAAATAAATGTATATCACCTCCAATATTACATATTTTCTTTAAGAAGTTAAACTATTTTGCTTTTCGATAAATATATACAGATAAATGATGACGGATAGTTTGATACTATTGGTATGAAAGGAATAATGCCGTTTAATTGTTTACATAAACAATACAAAAGAATAGAAAAATAAATGCACAACAGACCCCACAGGCATTTGTTATGACTTATGTCACGAGATCGTTTCCATTTAATAAAACGCGACAGAAAAATAATAGTTCCATTTCATTCTTTCATTTAATATGACGGTACAAAAGATTTTATTTATTTTGTACAAAGATACAGATTGTAAGTATTTTTGAAAATAAAAAAGGTAGAAAATAGTAAGAAATTATAACAAGTTTTTAAAACACTTATTGCCTTGTGACTGTTATTATTGTTATAAGTAGGTAGATACTTCCTAAATTCACTTGTTAAACTTAAGATTTCAGCGTTTTCTAGAACAAATAATGAAGTATATCTTCATTTACAAAACATTTATTAACTTATCCGTATCATTAATAGCAACTATAGTTTCATGTTTCAAAATAAGTTGTTTTGTATGCTACAAATTTAATACGACTTGCTTTGTGTGATATTCCGCCCTTAAAAATATTGAAAAACATGTTGAAGCGCTCTTTAATTGGTTTCCGCCGACTCTTTAATTACGTTGCCGGCTTAAAATAAATTCTGACCTAAGCTACTTTAACGCTTTTACAATGAGGAAAATAACTTAATTCTTCTCATTTACATTTACATAAAACAACGTTCAAAACATAAGTTTCAGGAAAATATTTCAAAACCTAAGTTTCTATAAAACCTCGACAATTGAAACGATAATGCGAAATCAATAATGGACAAGATATCTATCAAATTTTAAAGGTCAATATCAATTTAAAATAATAAAGACATTCGATGACAGACGTATATATCGGCGCTATCAGCTTTAATAACGGATGCGACATGAAAATAACTTGCGCCTGTCATCAATTATTATTAACACTCATTAGTATTATTGATTATTGTTAAAAGTAAAACGAAATCAAAGATTGTTTAAAAGGAGAATAGAACTATGTTTGAATCTTGGTCTAAATATGGCATCTGGACGCACGACGGCAGATTCAGTTAGTGCGGACCACTGAATAATGTGATTATGAAGAATCTTCGAGATATACAGGAACATTAAGAACAATTGAAGTTTCATTTTAAAATATCATGGGACATGCTGGAAGACGTGACAATTATAGTGAAGTCGGTGAAGCTGGCGTCTCTCTCTTTAAAAAACAACGAATTTGTAATAAATCCGATATATATTAAAAACTGAGAATAAAATTATTTAAATCAATCGTGAAATCACTGAACCACTGCAGAGGACTTTTACGATGACTATATACGTTTATATGAACTACGCGCTGAGATAAGACGAGCCATATTTTGTCATATTGGCCGCGGCTATGCTACGAAACTCTTTTAACTCAACCCCTACTTAATGTAATGCGACATGTAATAGATGAATTAAAAAATACTTACAAATTAATAAAAATAGATTAAAGAAAGTGTGTAGTGTACTACATCTTACAGCCTTAATCTAAAACTTATAATTTCATAAGTTGTAAGAAGCCACTTAAATTTAAAATAATTATATTAAAGTTATCGAGGTGAGGTATAAATAAAATGTCGTAATACAAGTATTTTAACGAAACCGTTAATCAATGGAGGACTGTAGTACTGCACTGGCTGAGTCGAAGCGTGTTGTATTAGTATAGCGATCGATGTAGCAAGGCCAAGTGCGTGCACCTCACTAGTCAGTTATTATCTCGTTTTGGAGGACGAAGTCGTATACTCACAATACTTTCCTTTATATTTAAAAAATAACTGACTGTTAAAATGTAATTGTTTAATGAATTCATCGCTATTCTTAATAAAATATAGATTTTATATCGATCTTGAAGATTTCAACATTTTGTATTTCACAGCTCTAAGTATCCTACTAATATTATGTATAACTGCGAAAGTTTCTGAGTGTGTGTGTGTGATTGTTATTTCTTCACGCTCAAACGGCTGAACCGATTTTTATAAAAATTTGTATACAGGAAGCTGACGTCCAAGAATGACACATAGGCTACTTTACATCCCGGAAATCTCGGAAATCCGCGGGTAACACCGCGGGGCGCAGCTAGTTATTATATATTTTTTAAGTGTGTTGTCGTTTTCGACTCTTATTATGTGTATTTATCTTGGTTCTTAACAATACGCATAGTGATTACGGTTTACATTTTGTAAACTGTAGAAATGAGAACCAAATTCACAGACGTGGATAATTAAAACAGGGTTTTTAAAGACTAGGCCAAAATGACTTTTCTACTAATCTTATTAATCTTTCACACTGGTTATAATATCTGCCCTATTCTTATAAAGTAACAAGAATAATATAAAAAATACTTAATTGTTTTACAACCGTTAAAAATGGAGACAATAAGTAAGAAGTACAAGGTTTAGTTAAGTAATTAAACGTAACAATTAATTAACTGAATTACTAGGTCTAGCTTAACAAGCCTTCATGTTAAATTTGTCACTTCGCTAATGTATTGGACATACATATAACCCAATATTTGTGTTAATGGCTAGAAAAAAGCAATTTTATTCTTCTGTCAGAAAAATATTGAAAGTTTTTAGATGGATGATATTGCTTACTGAAATAAAAATGACGTTTATAACAGCTTATGGTATGAACTTATGAAGTATGAACACTTGATACTGTTCAATTAATTGCTGAATCCCCACAATATTTTTAGTTTAATGTTATTAGTAAAGGGGTAGTTATTGGAAAACTGATACAGTCACTTGTACCGATTCCTTAATTTATGTTATATAATATGTTTTGAACTCATGTCATAAAAGGAGGGATGTGCTAAGTTTGAAATCGATGTCTGTGTTTATCTGCCCTTAGTATAGTAGCACTTAAACAGATCGACTAATTTCAATACAGTATTTTAAATTGAAAGCCAATTTCCTTGTGGTGGTTATAAGCTATATTTTATTAATATTGGTAGAGCAGTTGGTTTTCAAAAATGATGTTAGGCATTTCGGTCCCTTGATTATTCACTTGTGCTAGTACATTTTTAACATGACATTTAGAGACGAAACTTCTCAGCATTCCATGGATTCACAATGCGGGTGCCGGGTCCATTGCGTTGCAGAGAGGGGAGCTTCAACAGTGCCTGGGACTTGCGACCCAGGTGTAGTTTTAAAGGGCCCCTATCTAACGCGCGTTATACTCTCACCTCCACTGTCCAAGCTCCTCTCCCTCCCTAACCAAATTTGAAAAGAACCTACTAGGGCTGCATTCGATGTACGTTCCAAGAATTTATTTATGTGAGTTCTGGACAAGCCCAAGCCTTTTAGTAGGTTGTAGAGAGATTTCGCTTTTATATTATTCTACAAATTCTTGTTTTTAATTTTTTTAAATATCTATGACCAGAAATATTTATCAAATCTGAATATGAAAGAAAATCAATTGCGATTAATATATATATTTTGCTAATTCAATAGATATATAACTTTTTTGACTTCAGATTTGACGTATTTAAACAATAAATTTTAGATTTTTATATTGTTTTATTTCGTTCATTATACATATAAAACTTTGCAAAAGTTGAAAGTTGCTTATGCAAGTATAATATTGATACTGATTTTAAAATAATTAAACACAACTTTATACAGTTGTATGTTGTATTACGATAGTTTAGTATCAAGAAAATACGTGTTATCTTACTAAATGATCAACATATTTATGAGTCACACTAGCAGGTAATCTCCCTTTATCGAGGCTTAAAAATATGTTAGTATAAATAATAAATGGATATTATTTAGAGGTGTTAAAAACAATGACATGATAATAGAAAACCTCGGAAAGACTTTTAGTTATGACGAAATGGGGTGTGACCAAAGAAAGTTAAGATGTTAAGTTAGCAAGTGGTCCTTACACATTAAAGACTTAAGATTGAAGAGGTTTGTTATTTTTTACGTCGTTTATGTAATATGAGAAAAATAAGCAATGATTTTAAATTACACGCTGCAAGATTATTTTACATTTAGTATGTTTTGACTATCTACAACTTTGATGGCATATACCTACATAGGTAATTTTGTCAATAATTTCATATTTCTTTTTTTTGCACAAATATTTAACAGAAACTAAAGAGAAATAATAAAAGAGTACAAAGTGTAGAATATCACTTTGAATTTTGTGATTGATTTTTTTTATACCTCACATTTTTTGTGATATAAAAATTAATATTAATCCCATATACTTCTATCCAATTACACGTTTATGAGGAATCTGATTAAATCAAATTACTTGTAAGCGACTGGTGCATATAGCGATTGAGTATACATATTGAGCTGTTCCTTCTGATGACCAGAGTCAATTACTTATAAGACTTAAAGAAACTCACCGAGCAGCCTAAAGCTGGTCACCAATAAACGTACCCGACTCCACATACTCATCACTAACGCTGGACTCCGATCATATCGTCTCCAACTTTACAGCACCGTAAAGTAGTAATCGATGACGTGAGCCACGTAGAACAGAAGACAGGTGGCGATGTACATCATGATCAGTATTTGCACCAACATGATGTTGGCCTGAGTCCCGCTGCCTGACTGCGGGAAGCCCCACGCAAGGTGAATGTCGGCCGCAAAAAAAATGGCATCGTATTGTTGCGTAAATACGTGACGTTTAAGTAACACTACTAGGGGATCCTAATAACAGCTAATATTTTCAACACGGATTTTGTTGATGATTTTATTTTATACAGATGTCTATGGACCAACATTATTTGAATCTGATAGAAGGTTGATTTACAGAACGACTGTGGAATTAATGTTACCTACTATACGTGTATAAAGAAGTAATGTAGAGGAATCTGATACTGCGGCTTATATTTCTTATTACATGCTTCAATAATCACGATAAATGTGTTGTATTGCAAATAAAGATTCAATTCAAATCTCATTTTATATTAAGTATTTGCTGCATTAACCTCTTTTCTACTCGAACGGCAGTGTCTTATAAATTTTCTTCAAATCTTAATAACAGTTTTCAACGAACTCCACTAAATGAAGAAATAAGATTTAGAAATTTGTGATCTGAAGACGAAATTCCTTGCAATGAAATATAGGGTGAAATGTATGAAAAAATTAAAGTAAATATTAAGATCCTTATTTGTTTTTTATATGAATGTTATAAGAAACACAAAAAATATATTTTGAAATTACGTTAACTCAAAGTAGATATGTCCTCAAAGCAGTTGGAAATTTTTGTTTTCTATTTTATAACTTCGAAATTTATGAAAGCATATAACGAATTCCTTTAGTATGTTAAAGAACGTGCTATCTCAATACTCCCTTTTACTTTGATAACATCGAATAAAGGAAATAAATGTGAGCGACGAACGCTACCGAGATAACTGAATGCTTAGTCGAAGTTTGCATCCTCACACTACGTACCTCACCTAAAAATGTAAAATTATTAAAGTGTTTGTCATACCTAGTTGTGAGGTCACATCATATTATATGATTCAATTTGCACTGTACTTTTGAAATAAAATACTGTTAGCGTCATAACGACTGAACATTTATTTTTATTGCTGAGTCGATTACTTACATACGTTTTGAATATTATTTAATATTTGTCACCAAAGATCTATGCATAATATAAATAAATGAATTGTAAGTATGTACTTCTTTATTCATAAGATTTTGCAAGTCAATTCAAGTTTATTTTTGTTGATGTAATGTAATATATTGCATGGCTATAGGAAATGAAATAAGAATTTAATTCGCTATTTTTGTTACAATAACGACATTTTCATATGTGTGTCCTTTCACGATCTCTTTGATAAGTATTTCGTATTTTATATAAAACTAGAAGACCCGGCGAACTTCGTATTGCCCTATAATCAAGAAATATCTGTTACGTTTTTTTTTAAATAAATTTAGGTTATACCTTAGCCTCAGAAACACGTGGTGGTTATGCTATTATTAAATAGTCGCTTATATATAACGTTTGTATTTTTAACATAGCGCCATCTATTGAATACTTAACTCAGTCAACAGATAATTGTAATAATGACAAATATGTAATTTTCTTTAATAAACAAATAATTTGCAATAAAATAATATTGTGACTATAAATTGAGATGTAAGCTATCCTATCTTTCAAGTTGGATCAAAATGCACACGGAATGCAAATCAAATTTAAGATCGGTTTAGTAGTTTAGGAGTCCATCGCGGACAAACACGTGACACGAAATTTTTATATATATAAAGATATTCATTATTGATTTAGAACGGCAAAGGCAAAATATGATAAGAGATGCTTAATTCTCTAATAACTTACTTTTGCGGTTTCCGTCCAAGACTGTAGTAGCGGGAACAGTGCGTCCATCGATTGTGTCTGAACTGTCTACAATATGCAGAGGCAGCTCTACCGCATCATGAGATCCTCCCGGCCAAGCCATTGTACATTACCGGCTTACAACGCACATAGCACTTGCACTTACTCACAAACAGGCAATGGACTTCGAACGTTACTTAGATTTCAGTCACTTAACATGATTAGTAATAATAATGATATATTGGTTTTTATACATCAAATTTGGCCATGTTTAAACAATCTCTTAATAATTTCATAGAGATTCAATAGAGGTTCTAAAAAAAAGGCACCATAAATGGCTTAAAAGTTTAAATTCCATCCATTACAACTCTTGGCAGTGCGGATAAGGATCGAACGAAATGGCTTTAAGGGGCCTAGAGCGTCGCGAACAGCTTCTTTTGTCCGAGAATTGCTTCTTTAGCACTTTGTATAAAGTGTGGGGAATAACAATGTATATATTTGCAGAATATTACATGAAATATGGCTAAAACGCTACAAAGAAATATAAGTTGATCATAGACACTGTGAGTAGTAATGTTTATAAAAATAAAATGAATGTAAGACTATCAATTACATCGAGTGGATATTTATAATGTTCACAAATTGATAAATAATGTATAAACCACTTTCTTGTTAATACCTATTTGATATCTAGTGGTCAAATTAAGTTGTTTATCGATAAGTTCAGAAAATATTCTGTATTCATATGAAAAGTAATAATAATAACTAGGTCTAAATAAACAAAAGTTGTCATGGAAATAGGATTTAGAAATTTTAGCAATAAGCGTGTTTTACGTTAGCAAAAACAAGTTTTAGTAATTATTTCCTTTTTGACGATATCACAAACAGGAGAATAATTTTAAAAAGTTGTTATCAACTACTCATAAAAATTAATCAAGCAACGATGTATACCTGAGGTTTTAATAAATTTGAAATAACAAAAATCTAACAAACACATTAAAAATAATAATTAGCAACAACATAAGTCATTATTGAGGAAATTTCTTAAATAAGTTTAACACAGGTTTTGTTGTTATGGAACATGTTTAACGCTATAAGTATCAACTTTTTAATTAACAGTCCTGTCTTTATATCTCACCATTTTTCACCAAGTTTTTTTATAAAGTAGGTTTTCATTTGGTTTCTAATTATGATAAGTATACGACGGTAGAAAACTAAAATATTTAACATATTTCTAACAAAATATTCAGCCTTACCAGAGTCTAAATAAATAATGAATCAACACGTTTTTGAACTAACACTAACAAAGAAAACTTATTGCCTACGGAACGCGACTCAGATACCGACTGTCATACAAACTAAAGTAAATTGTGATATTGTCGATAAGATTATGCCTTTCCTAGAGTAAACACTACGTAATTTTTGATAGAAATTCTCACGTTAGCGTTGATGTATAGTGAAATATATGTTCAGAAATCAAGACGTAGCATGGGTGTGTTTAAGGTGTGTCTGCAATCTGACCCACGGCCTATGATGTCATGTATGTCCATACTTATTATTAAAGCACGCCTTTCATTGGAGCGGCCAAATGGGAACTGCAAATCAACATTAATGGTCACTGCTTACGAAAGATGTGGGTCAAATATAACAAATGATGGTAATGGTTTTGAATAAAGTAATGGGTCTTCCTATAGACGTATCACTAGTTTGTATTTTAACGTAATAACTAGATAGATTTATATATAAGTCAGTGGTGGCCTAGAGGTTAAAGGCCCGCCTCTCATGCATGAGGGCGCGGGTTCGATCCTGGCAAGTACCAATGTGATTTTTGCGAGTCATATATACTTTCTGAGAGTATTTAGACACCACTGATAGACGGTGAAGGAAAACATCGTAAGGACCTGTACTTATAATTTCACAATTATAAATTTGAAGTCACCAACCCGTCTTGAGCAAGCGTGGTGATTAATGCATTCCCAAAGAGGGTTGATGTCAGGCAGGCGGCCGGTCGTAAAAATAATTAGCCACAACTATTTGAGACATGTAAGGCAGACCCTGGCTAAAGCTGGGAAACTGCCAGGAAGGAGAACTAGATAGATTTACCAAGTAAGTATATCATTGAGAGCAAAAGTTAGAAACGTTTTTACTATCGATTCTGTGTACTGGATATAAAATTAAGTATCAGACTGAAAGTAAGTCATAAACGAATGTTTTTATAGGAAGACACTAAGAAAGTAAGTTCTCAAACCAAACGGCCTAAACTGTAAAGTTAACGTGACAGTGACACGCTCACTGCCATTTTATGGCGGTTTTCTTGATTAATAGGCTATGCCATTGTCTGTTGGGGCATTATAAGAAGAGTTAACAAAAGAAAAACAATTTATTCCGCCTCGACGACCACAATAGCTCTATCAAGGTATTGCACCTTATTTAGTTTATAAGCGTCATTTTATTTAAAGGGGTTTTTGTCATAGTAGTTTTTTTAATTATTCTTTATAATAAATTGATCAAATATCTAAATATTATATATTCTTGCAAGTGAAATTATCGAAAACTTTTTGGTAAACGTAGCCTTTTTGAGGCACAAACTGAATACCAATACAAATAAAAAGCGTTTAGAATTCAGTTATTCATATTAACTTTGAGCTTCACGAATAATTTATTAATATAATAATATTAATAAATATGACTTTATATGATATTACTTGTCGTATCGATCACTTATATTATTTATAATCATTACTTTGTACACAAGCAAATTTATTAAAAGTAACGATAAGGCTTGGCTCATATTTAAAATTGAAATAAATGATAAATATTTACTAAGGCCCTTTCAAAGTAACCGTAAATCGTAGGAGTAGTTAATAGTTATTAACAGATATATTTTCAAAGGGTTTGAATAATGGGAAGATATTTAAAATGTATGAGTCATTTATATTAAGAAAATCAATATTTTGAAAAGCGCTTGAGTGTCAATGTATATGAAAAAATAAATAAATATACATATGTGTAGATAAATGGTATTAATGTTTGTAAGATTACAGAAAAAATATCTTAAAAACATACACTCTCTCGTGTCTTAAAAGTTCAAAATATTTATCAATAAAACAACGTAATTCGTCATGTCATTCGTAATTTTTTTACTACATGTTTATTTTACTCTTGGTATTAATAAAAAACTGAACTAAAATAAAAATACTATAGGAACATAAAAAAATATTTTTCTATATTTTCTGATATGGTTGCTCATTATTCAAATTTCAAAGCATAAGTATGTTATATTTGTAACGATGGTAATTTCTGGTGGCTCTAACGAATTCTAAATGTATCTATACTAGATATATCTATACAGCAGGTGAAGATAGTATTATTTTTTACGATTTTTCAAAATATAGTTCCACATTTACTAAAGTAGACATGGAGGTGATGTTTGTAGAGTCATGACCTACTTCCTATACCAGCCCTACACTATGATTAGATGAAAAGTTGGATTAAATATTCTATTCTAGTTACTTTTATCGTTATAAAAGTATATAATATCTTGTTACCATTATTATGACAAATTTGTTTATAAGGTAAATCTCAAAACATCATATAAAGACGTTTTTAAGAATCTTTTGAGGAAACTTGAGATAATCTGATTAAGCTTTCAGGTGGGTTGCTCTACTCTAAGTAATCTTCAGATTAGGGCTGTGATGATATAAAAGATTTCTTTGAGCGTTTGAATAGCTTTTTTAACTCAATTTTATTTTTATGTTATTCTGCCTTATAACAATTTTATTCATATAAAACATAGATTTAAATATGTGTTTGTATAGAAATAGTATTTCATTATGATAATTATCAAAATTTAGATATTCTTATAATAATATATGAATTATTTATCACACATATACATATACTCCTAGGTATTGCTCAAAATTATAGGGCCATAGAAGAGGAAGGTCTAAACTGATTTACTTCATTACATGTTTTAAAGATACAAGGTATAATTCTATATGGTTGTTTGATTATCGGTTAAGAAAGGGTGGCGTCAAGGATGTTACAAATTGTTGGTTTTATAAATAATTACATATAGAACTAGTATGAGACGTCCTGAAGTAAACTGATAAAAAATTACACAAATTAATTTTGCAGCTTTCTAGAAAAAAAAATTGGTTGCATCAAAAATTTTAATGAATAAAACATATCTATTTCTTTTGTATATAAAATTTGGTACACGGTAAGATCTTGAAGATTGCTTTTTATCTTATATATTAAAGCGGTTTAAAAGAAAAAAACCTTAAGCTTAAAGTCTACTACATAAAATATCAAAGAAAATCATAAATGCAGGTGTTAATATCACACGAATCACTTTGCAGTTGAGACAAAACTTATCACATTTATTTTTCCCTTAGTTATAAAAATATTTTTAAGAACTTTCTTTTTGTGTATGAATATTTCTTTTCATAGTATTTTATTTTACCTAATTTCGACTACAACTCAAATTCTCATGCTATTAAGAAGTATGTTTAATTTTTTTTAAATAAATATTCTTATGCATACGAATTATAAAAATAATATTATTAAATGAGCACCAACTTACTGAAACTTAGCTTAATATAAGTTAGACACACACAAACAGTGAAAGTTTGAAACCAAACAATTTTCAATTAAATAACAAAACAAACATAATCTGTTGTATACGAAATATATATTTATATTAAAAACATCCGGACAATAAAATATTATTAAATATGTTACTCGCTTCTCATCCGCATTGAACCGATTCCAAATCGTTGTGATATAGTTTTTCATAAATATCAAATTTAAAGAGAAACTCGCGGTGAGTACTAGATAAATAAAATATTCGTATCCTTTAGATATACAAATAATAATGCAAAAATATTAGTTGGTATATATTATACTACCTGGATAAATTTAAATATTTCAACTTCAACTCGTGAAGCTCATTTTATCGAAGGTCAAATCATCTGTAAGTTGAGTTGCAGTACAATTTCAATGGAACTTTACTTCGAAGTAATTTATTCCTTCAGCACAAACTTTTACAATCCATAAGGTAGTCGTGAAACTTTTCCGAAAGAACTTATTTTAAATAGATATGCAATGGTAGTTGCAACGGGT